CCTAATGTTCTAGTGAGGAACCTTGGCCCTCTCACGTCAAATACTGGTAGACAATTTCTGAAAGACAATTCAACAATAAACATTGATTTCAAAAAGTTCAGATAAGACTAATTAAAAGTGAGGTAACTAAATAGCTCTTTAATCCAAACAAATTTTAGATCTAAGGAAGTTAAATTACATGAAATATCAACAGTAACAATTTTCAGACCTGCCAACTCAAGATCTGATATCAATACACATCTTGAACCAATTTTATTCAATGGCTTACAGGAACATAAGATACTGATTAAATTTAAAACACTTTCAAATTTCTTATCAACTGCTTTAACTTGATAAATCACATTTCCCACATTAATTAATAAAAGAAAATTTAATATGAGTTTGGATTTACAAAAGGAACTATATGCAAGTGTATACATGGTATATCTAAAATAATGAAGTTGTTCGCCCAACCTTTTCTTAATTTAAGGACAAATAACATATCAAAAGTTGGCAGTTGATGATTAAAATGGTGTATAAAGTTTCTGCAAGTCATAGAAACACATCATAATATACAAAATGTATCATTCGATTGACATGATTACTGTGATATCCAGTGGCAAGTGTTTCATAAATATTCAGTAAACAAATTTCAAATAATTCTTATAGTTAGGCATGTATGGGTTTTGCTCATTGTTGAAGGCTGTACAGTGACATATAGCTGTTTATTTCTGTGTCATTTGGTTTCTTGTGGAGATTTGTCTCAATGGAAATCATACTACATCTTCTGTTGTTTTACAAAAATAAAAGGCCAGATATTTAACTGGCACAGGAAAATGTTTACATGTTCCATAGGGGTACATATTTTGCCTTGCAAAAGTCTGTGCTTAAGCCACTAGCCCAATATCAGAGTCTGGTAAAAATTGATAAAAATTTAGTGAAATTATTTTTAGGGTCTTGCATGTACATGATGTACCATATGAAGGAAAAATGTTAAAATTTCTTGAACAGACTGCAATGGGCATTCAGCCTGAGAACCCTAAATAAAACTGTTCAATGGGTATATTAACTTGCTGCAATACTTTTTTTTCAAACATATGGAATTTATCGTCCCAACTTCCACTTGATGTAGCTGTGCATGCCTCTATTTAAATGACACTTTATCCCCCTTCTTTTTTTGGGAGGGGGGAGGATTGTTCCTAACATAGAGAAACTTGGACCAAGATACACCAAGGTCTTCTGTTGTGGACGTGTTTTGAGGATCACTGCCTCAAAATGCTATTTTGTACGAATTTTTGAGCCCTCCTGGCAAGGGAGTTTCAGTTCCCCTTGAGTTTCACATCATAAAAACACAACTTGTACAAACCTATCTTCGGGAAAATAGAGTAAATTACTTTACTTTTATCTTAAATACCCACAACAAACGAGCAGCATGTTTATTGTTCACTTTAACAGCTTGCTAAGTTGCTTTTTCAATTGTTTTGGCTAGAGAGTTGTGAGTTTGACACAAAAACAAGGGCCCAGCGGCCACTTCAAAAGCCTGCCCATTTGTGGGCGATTAAGTGTCGTCCATAAAATTTATGCCACATGAGTCGGGCGAGTTTCGGTTATCTAACTTTCAATTTGGGCAACTTGAAATTACTCTACTCACCTGTACCGTGGCTTTCTGTGACACACTACCATCTTCGAAGCGGCGTAGAGGAACAACAATGCCTAACTGCGCATGCTCGAGATCGTTCATTTCAAAAAGTAAAATTAGCCCATACCGGACGGTATTGTCAAGAATTTCAATAACGGCCGGGTACCAGTCTAGATCAAAACAAACTGTGAATGCGTAGAAAAAAGATATAGTTCCTTACATTTTCCACATTAATTTCATTAAAAAATGCCATTTGCCAATGTAATAAAAAGAATAACTAATCAAAGAATTCAAATATCGAAAAATATTCAACTCGTGACCGAACAACACTGATAATTAACTCATGCGCTACGCGCATTCGTGAATTAATGTGTTGTTCGGTCACTCGTTGAATATTTTTCTCTATTTAAATCCTTCGATTAGTTATTACTGGAATTACGACGATCCCAATATGGCGACGGCAGAAATAGGTAAAATCTTTTCAGTCATTTTTCTCAAATGTGGACCGTTGTTGTCACGAGTTATTCAGCTGCAAGGTTTTTCTTTAACATTACATCATATTTGAATCGTAACGGTGCACTATAATTGTCTAAGCGGTTAGAAAATTGCCGTCGAAAAATTCGGGATGATAATCGTAATTCAATGGCATTTTTCTTGTTTGATAATCGTAATTTCTTTATGGGATAATAGTAACTGAAAAATAATAAACGTGTCTTCCAGCTTTTCAATGGTATTTTGTGTGTAAAAACAGCAATGTCCAGTTAAACGCTGACATTAACACAAAAAAAAATAAATGAAGCAACTTACAGGTTTATATCTAGGACAAAACTTGTATATATATCTCGATTTATAACAATATGCATAACCTTTAGCAATATCCAATATCCCAAAAGAGCAATCCTATCAATTCATTGCTCCAAATGAAAGTCCCGTATTCCACATTTTAATATGCCATATGTTTTGCCTCAAATATCGCATATATCCAATCGACATAATCAATAAAAAGGGCAAATTAACCTCCCCTATCCAATATCCCATATATTACGGGGCTGGCTGTGGGTTACTTCCTATATGAATATATAAGTTATAACATGGATCAGATTTTTGGTCTTCGGCAATATATGAAAGGGGATGTTTATTTTAAATTCCAGCAGCACGCAAGGAATGACACCACCCCTTCCCCCGTGTACTATACAAGCCTCATTTATCATAAGTTCCCTTTTGTTTATATTCTGGAATGGGTCTACAAATTTTGAAAAAGGGAAATAGGGGGTGCTATTAACTGAACGTTTATACTAAATTTCTGCGCGAAATGAACAAAATTTTCCATCAGTAACTTAACTGCATTTTCGGATTAAACAGTTGATACACTGATATATATGATTTTAAAAATTTAATTCAAATGTTTTGATTAAATACCCATGTATTTTAGGAATTTCTTTAAACAGTGTGGGTGGTAAAGGATCTAGAATAGTTACCAGTTTATTGTTACTATTGTATTTTATTTGTTACTTGTGCTTATTGTTTTTATTAGCCTTAACTACATGGCGCGTATAGTCTTACGATGCATTTGAAGGACTAAAAAAACACAAATATATATTATATATATGTGTATTGATAAATTACCTCAGAAGGCATAATATGTAGATCAAAACAGTCGAAACTGGTTTAATTACAAAGACTTTAATAGATTATCAAACAAATAGTTTGTGCTTCAGGAAAATGCATGACAATTAGGAAGGCTAATTTTTGTTTTCATTTTTTATTTCATCCCAACCTTTCTCTACTATAAATATTATCATTAAATTGATGTTGTTAAAATTTATAGTTATTTTTTGAGATATCGAAACGTCAGTGACGGTTATGAAGTAGCTAAGCATTTTATAGTATTTATGGGCTATACAACTGTTTACACATTCAAAAAGGTGTGACATTTGTTTCCAAGTCCGTATTTGAATAAAATACCAAACAATATTTCTTTTTAATTCTAAACATTTAGAGATCATGATGACATTTTTTTTAATTTTAAAAGTTTCTCTCATTCCCGTATTTTGTATCATTCCTAGTTCCTGGAGTTTTCTGTATTTTAACATAGTTCGTGTTTCCCCACTTCCAAATTTCCTGAAGCTTGTGCCCCCCCTCCCCATTCCAATTTTATGATATACTAGTATGTAGCTGTTTACATTAGAACTATTAAGCATATATGCACAAAAAGAAATGTCAGAAGATGTTAGAATGTTTCCGTGATTAATTGATTATTCATCACCATATTTTCACCATATGCTATGAGATAGACAGTTTTTAGTGTCAATATCAATCAAACACTATCAAGTTACGATTATCTTCTCATTTTTATTACCGAAATTACGATTATCATTTTTTCTAGTTACGATTATCATCCCGAATTTTTCGACGGCAATTTTCTAAGTGCTTAGACAATTATAGTGCACCGTAACGATTCAAATATGATGTAATGGTATAGAAAAATCTGGCAGCTGAGTAACTCGTGACAACAACGGTCTACATTTGAGAAAAATGACTGAAAATATTTTACCTATTTCTGCCGTCGCCATATTGGGATCGTCGTAATTCCAGTTACGATTATCAGTTTAACACCAGTGAATACACAATTTAGATTTAAAGTCTAAATTCTTACAACAAACAATTAAGATATTTTCATAAATATACGTCATCATTTACGTTTTCTCATTAAGAATAATTATGCAGTCTCCTGTCAATTTGAACATCCGATTTATACAACTTGTACTAATCTATTGTTAACTTAAGGAAGTAAATTTGTTATCGGTGTTACAAAGATTGAAAATTAGGAAAAATTGCCTTTGAGCTTGCCTCTGTTGGTGGAATAAGCATACATATAGGCAAGCCGATTCGGTAACTTTTGGTATGACTAGAGAATCACAATAAGTTGCTAAAAGAACAAGAATTATAAAGACACTATCCTAAAAATTTTGATGCTTTTTGTTTCTTTTTTTTTCAGGTTTTCATGAGCTACTATAATGTTTCCATTATTTGTCACGTCGATGCTGTCATAATTTTAGAATAAAATCCTGTTCTCATATTCCCCCAAGTTCTTTGTGGTGTTGGGTCGCTGTTTCATTGACGGATGATTTACATGTCTTTTACTCATTTCAAATTTATTTTGACACCCGTTAAATTTAATGAAATACGGTGACGGCTAAAGAAAGGACTCGAGGTTGATGGGTAGGGCTGCTCAGCCCTTATAAAGAATCGAATGTGGTTATAACAATGTAAAAACTAAAAATAAATACGATATATGTTTTAAATTTACAGATATAAAAGTGCATCACACCATTTTTCAAAATAATTGATCCGCAAATGAAACTTTTATATCTGTACTTACCAATGTAGATTATGAAAAATATCATACAAACATTATTGAATCCAGCCATTGTGTATTAACGTCCCGAGTAGTTCTGACATGACTAACCTCTTCCTGGTTACATATTCATATACAGTTTCCGGATAATTTTAATCATACCAAAACAATACAAAAATCTAAACATAGAAAGTTGATAGTTTGTACTTCCAGTCAATTGAACTATAAAAACCAAATATTTAGAACGTTTCATAGAAAAAATATCGAAAGCAATTGTGGTCAACTTAGCTTATCCGGAAACACTTATCACTTTAAACAAGAAACTAAGTTAAAGTTAATAATGACAACGACATTTGGTTATATATCTGTATGGGTATATCTCGTTGTTTACTGACATATTAAAGAATATAAATATATAAACAAATATTCCTAACTTATTTCATCTTGATGCAGATCACTTTACTTTATGTGTAACAAAACAAAAAAAGTGATATACTTATCTTCTATTTTGATTGTTATTATCCAAACAATCAGGAAAACACAAATCTTTTTTGGCGAGTTTAATTATAAGACCAGCTAGAGTTTAAAATAATACGCGAATCGTTTATTAAAATTGAGAATGGAAATGGGGAATGTGTCAAAGAGACAACAACCCTACTCGCATTCCGACTTTTTAAATGCCCATTTAATTAGGTGTGTGATTTTTTTCTTAATAAGAATATGAGGCAAAGTGGTATATAGAGTAAAAAAATTGTAGCATTGTATCTTTTATAGGAAAAAGTACGATTTGGGGACAAATTGGTCTAAAATCGGATTTTCAGATTTAAATGTAATGTAAGTACTTTAATAAAACAAGGTTGTTTTGGTTACAAAAATTACCCTTTAATGATTAAGGCAGCTATGAAATGACGAAAACTTCAGTAAAATGGCGAAACTATGAAAACCTTGTCTTGACTATTTGACTTAATAATAGTATAGAGCATGCCCGTTGCTCAGAAAGATGTTTAAACAGAAAGTGTATTTTGTGTTTATTTATTCACTAGAAATAAATATTGGGCGACGCTTTGTTCTATGTTAATTTAGCCAAAATGTTCTTACCATTAACCCATCTTAGTTAATTTTCTGACAAATTATCGCTTATGATGCCACTTTAAAGACGTAAAAGTCAAATTGGGTTATAAATGTTGGATAATATTCAATTTTCTGAAAAGCCTTTCTTCTGATGCAAAATAAATGTGATAAGTAATGACCTCAAGTAATGTTTACTCTTGGTGAAATTTAAGGGCCAAATTAGTCCCTAAATGTGTCCAATCCTTTGTTTAAAGTAAGATATAAACTTGCTTCATTTTAAAGCTTACACTTGCCTATTGCTATAGACTGTATTTTGATATTTTTTTTGGGGGAAAGAGGGGGATTGTTTTTTGGGGTTGGTGTCCAATTATGTATTCTCCATATATCTCCTTATTCATTTTGTAAATTTGTTATTTTTTTGTCCTGTCAACTTTGCGAAACTTATATCAGACACATATATGTCTCTGCCGATATGTATAAACCGTACATTAATTTCTTCTGACCATGGAAGTATTATATTGACAGGAACTCCAACGAAAAATTAGCACATTCGCATCCCACTGATTTCTTTAGGAAAATAAAAGGTTCCGACTCAGTTTTTCAAGTACGTGATAACTTCTTTGTGGGGTATCTGCGATGCCGCCTTCGCCTGTATAGTTTACAGAAACTGATCTTATCACGTGATCTGTTATCGAAGGTCTTATCTACCTACCAATGTAAATTAACACGGAAACTCCCGTGGCTAATTGCGAATCGCTACATGAATAACGACACCTGTTTCTGTTCAATAATTAAAGACTACAGCTGAAACAATCTAAAAAATCGGTCCATATTTAACAGAATGACAAAAGAAAGTTAATTGTATTCGGAAAGAAGGTAATATTATTTTTATTTTTGTTTGATATGTTTTTATCACTGGAACTAGGAAATCGGGAAATATCCGGTTATGAAAATTACATGACTCTGAAGTAGAGTGTTTGCAGAAAATAATGTGATGCGCGTGTAGTGTGCCGGATGGTGCCGGATAACTCAAATTTTAAGTTAAAGATTGAAAACTTTAATCGAGTGTAACACAAATATTTATGGTTTTCTCTATCGTAAAATATCGTAAAATGTAATTTAACATATTTATAGAAAATGTTTTAAACACTAAGAGAGGTGGATAATTATACGCACGTGATGGCCTCTTCATATAGCATGTATCAGGTTATGACACCGATTACATGTACACCTTTTGAATAAATTCAAAAGTTTAAAACAACCTTCAACCTAGTCCGAGATTGCTCTGACGTCTGACGGACTTGTTTTGGGAAATAATGGCTTAATTTTAAATATTTCGATGCATTTAAAGAACTATCATAATGCTGGGTCCTAAGCAGTATACTCTTAAAATTTTATCATTAGAATTAACCAGTTTAGAATTAAATGTATTTGTAAAGGCTTAACATATCTGAAACATCTTGCAGCGTTTGTTTAGAAATTTATAATATTTTGTTTTTGTTGAAATGCATGAAATATTTGACATCGGACTTTCAGTAACTAATGCGACAAGATATTTGTCAAAGTTAGCAGTAAACCTCAATTACACATGCAGATTACAACTCATGATGTGTTTCCTTACACAAGAAATTTATTAGAATTCAATATAAAAATTAGAAGATGTGATATGATTGCCAATGAGACTACTCTCCACCAGAGACCAAATGACATAGAAGATTACAACTATAGGTCACCGTACAGCCTTTATCTTTTCTATTGAACAAGTTTCAGATTTACAAAAGCAATAAAACTCTTCAATGTCTTCACCGATAATTTTTTCAAATTCTTCATCATCAAAATCGTGCACGTCCATACTGATTAGTGAAATATTTGTAAGTGACGATAGTTTATTAACATAGAAAACCTAGTAAAAAACTGTCAACTGCCAAATATTGGCATGGTCGTTAAATGTCATATCCTTGACATTTATGTATACATCCGGTTACTTCGGTAAATTCCGTATTTACGAGTATCCCGAAAACGTTGTTGAACCCATGCATCGATACGACTAATTGAAAGATGTCAAGTTAATTAACAGATACTTAACGATTTTGCGGCATCGCACTATAAACGTTTGAAATCGGTTTGTTGGAGTTCCTGTCAATATAATACTTCCATGTTCTGACATACGATGTAATGGCTAGTATACCAAACTTAATTGACACGTATAGTTTCCAAGGTAAAACATAATGAATGTTATTTTTTTCTAATCCCCCCTCCCCCACACACACACACTTTGCGACTTTCGTCGCATTAATTTTGTTTTACCCATGTCCTTCGTCCGTTCTCCCAACACATGGTACAGGGTTCTCATGTTAAATCTTACTTCAGTGTTCAAAGCTATAAATTTTACATTATGCAGCACAGACACAGTATGTTAGAAGGCATTTTATGAGGATTTTTATTTAGTTAAAATTTCCGAAAATGACAAGATGGTGAACTTATTTCATGCATGTGCCCACATGTTTCATTCGTGGATTTCTAAACAGTTTTAAATAATAAATGCGAGTAAATTGTTTCATTCAATTTTACTATTCTTGGACATATACGTTATAAAATTTGTTATTAGCATGCACAGGGGAAAATGTTCAAAACGGATAAATTTTATCTTCCATTTATTTAGATAAACCATCAAAATCGAATTTACAGTGCGAAAACGGAAAAACATGGTTGAACAAATGAACAGACTTATTACAAACACAGACAGGTGAAAGTGACAGGTCTGGACTAGGTTTACCGTGCGCAAAACCGTCCACTCGCAAAACATATATACTAGTGTCTTTCATATCGAATGAACTGTGAAAACAGAACAACAAGCTGAGTAGCATATTATGTAGTTTCCTTTAAGCTGGAACATGTACATTTTCTCAACATAACCTATTGTCTACCTTCTTTAGCTTCTTTTCTACTATGGGGAACATTCACTTCCATTTATACTTAGGGCGTCACTGAAATTAAAAGTCAAGAGTTAGCTTTACATTTTGAGAGTATATGATACTAGTACTGAGGTGTGAATTTAGCGTTCCTGATGTGCAGATTAATCCAGAAAAACTCTTCGAACGCCTGAAAGTTATAAAGTATTATTTTAATTTAGTTTGCCAAAGATTATTGTTCTAACGTGACCATTGACGAATACTACAAATGAGTCATAACGAGGCGGTGGAAGTTGTAGATATTTTCTTTAACCTCAGATTACTGTTATTCTTAAAATAATGTTATTGTACAATCGAAATTAACGTGATTCTTTAAAACCAAAGATTTAGAAATATCAGGTGAACAAGTTGTCCTATAGCTGTACAAGTTTTATTTAAATCGCCAAACCGTTTTCAAAGAGTTTCATAATTATTGTTTTTAATAAGCCTGTAGAATAATTCATGGACAGGAAGCTAAAGTTGCATACCAAGCGTATAGATAGCAATGTCTCAAATCTGGAATAAGATTCGACAACAACCATATTAAAACTAATGTTAGATATAGAATAATTGATCGACTTGATCCTAAATTCGGTTATCTAAATGAAAAATTCATGATTATTTTGTTCGTGAAACTATTAATCACACGAACGAAAATGTTTGCCTTTTTGGCGTTGGCATTTGCTGGACTATATCTCCAAGATTCACTTGTAAATGCCGATCTTTTTAAAGAGGATAAGTTATATTCTGTTTAAAAAAGACTGGGTAAGTTGAACTGCAAATACGATATTTCTTCTCCTTTTATGTCTGATTTTAACACTCTCTGTTGCATAATTATCTTTCATCTGAAATATCTCTCATCTTTCACTAGAATAAAGTCATTGTTTCGTCTTATTTCTAAGTACATTTCACTTGAGATTAAAAACCATTTAAGATGGACACTTGTCTTACTGAATGCCATGCTGTGACCTGTAGTAGTGTAGATATTCGCTTTTCCTGTCCAATAAAATTGAGAATGGAAATGGGGAATATGTCAAAGAGACAACAACCCGACCAAAGAGCAGACAACAGCCGAATGCCACCAATGGGTCTTCAATGCAGCGAGAAAATTCCGCAACCGGAGGTGGTCCTCAGCTGGTCCCTAAATAAAATTGTGTGCTAGTTCAGTGAAAATGGACGTCACACTAAACTCCAAAAC